CCGTCCCCGGAATTTCCAGGGAGGCCTCCGCTGCCTCCAGAGCACTCCTCAGGAGGCCCATTGGGGGCCTCCCCGGGGGCTTCAAAGCGGAGCGAAACGCTCAGGGCGCCTTGGGCCAGGAACACCTCTGGCAACCCCCGAAACATCTCGTGAGACGGAGAACGCGGCCACGACGGACACAGAAGAAATTCACCAACACACGTGCACTACGACAGCGCCCTTGTTATGCTGGGCGCCTGCAAACAATCGAAGGCTGGCTCTTGATAAACGGCAAACAATCGTTTCAACTTCAGCCATGAACAGGATAGGACAGATGGAGGAGGGGGGAGGCAGACGACGATGAGGTAAATGATCAGGAGTGGGTGGAAAAACATCCCACTACGCAGATCCCCCGCTCCCATCGGCCCCTCGGGCGCGAGTCCGCGTCTTTCCCTTCTCTTCCCCTGAACAAGATGTTGGCAGGCTTGATGTCGCGGTGCACGCAGGACTGCGCGTGCAGGTGCGCCACCGCGTCGACGACCTGGGCGAAGATCCCGCACGCTTTGCGATTCCACTGCTCCCTCTGCTCCTCCGTGAGCTGCCCGGAGGCGAAGGCCGCGTTCCTCTGGGCGATCCAGGAGTGCAGAGTGTCCTTTCGAGGATAGACAGACCCCCCTTTAGTAAAACGTGGTTTAGTGAAAACGACCTGAGGCCCACACCTGGCGGGCGCAAGCCTGGAAAATAACGGCCACGGCGTCCTCTCGAGAACCGAAAACGGACAATTCACTAGTCGACGTGTCACTGTTAGGAGGTCTGTCCACCCCCGATCCTTGCTGCACAGCTCAGACTGTATGTACAACGTGGCATGGAACTCCGGCTCGCCGCACGCGGGCACGATCTCCACGGGCGGGAGCGGCTCGCACTCGATGGTGCCCGCGCTGCTGGCCTCTCCGAAGACCACCCCGCTCTCCTCGGACTCCTGCGGTGGGGGGCGACCCGGCCGCTGGAGGCCCCCCACATTCGGGTCGGGCGACAGGGGGGGACAGCAAAAGGGGGGGGGTTGAGAACCAGCCCACGTAGCGGACTTTCCCGGCACCTCCCGGCGCCAGGAGGCGGCCATGCATCGAGGAATGGGCTCCTCGGAGGGGCCGAGACCAGCTGCGTGCGGCAAATTTCGTAACCCCCCCTTTCCCAATCCCCGCCTTTGGTCCGGCCCGACACATGGGGCCAGGGCAGACGGGGTCGGAACATCGCACCACAGCGCCGGTGCAGCGGCGATGCACACGCGACGCCAGGACGGAGTCGATCGGACTCTGGCCCCCGCCGCATCACCGACGCGCATCGGCAATGTGGCGCGATCCTGGGACCCCGCCTGCTCTGGCCCCATTGGAGCGACGGCCAAAAGCGGGCCTCACGCGAGATGGCACGCAGCGACCTTGCACGGCGGCTCACGCGGGCCGCCAGCGCGAAAAGCCACATTTCGGGGATGGACAGGCCTCCCTTTAGTAAAACGTGGTTCAGTGAAAACGACCTCGGGCCCAAACCTGGTGGGCGCAAGCCTGGAACTTAATGGCCGCGGCGCCCTCTCGAGAACCGAAAACGGACAATTCACTAATCGACGTGTCACTGTTAGGAGGTCTGTCCACCCCCGAACAATGGGAGACGAGGGCGCTTACGTGCAACCCTACGCGTGCAGCTCACGCGCCAATGTCGGTGCAGTCGACCCCCTTTTCTTGCGTCGCTCATTCGGGAGACCTGGAGCAGCGAGGGCTCGGCCGGCGCTAAGACGAAGAAAAATATGCTCCAGAGCGTTCCGGAACGCTCTGAGAAGGCCGCGGCGCCCGAGACACTCTCCAAAGCCGCCAAATCTCAAAGATTATCGTTTTGTCCTCACCTCATTTCATCCTCGTCCTGGCTTCGTCTTGTGACCGCCTATCAGGCCACCCCAACCCAACCCGAAGACCCGATTTTCAGGCTGGGGGGGTACGGGCTTCATGTGTGCTTTTGCAATGTTTGAAGGGGCCCTGGGACACATAGACACAAATCCGCCGGCCTCCTTGTGGGGCCACCAGGCTGCAGTGCTAAGCTTCGCAGTTTCCTGTGCCAGTTGCAGCTTCCAGTTTCCAGTGTTACAGTTCTGCTTCTTGCTGCTTACTGTTCCTTGTTGACTTCTTGCTGCTTACTGTTCCTTGTTGACGGACCGCGCGAGGGGGGGAGGCCCAAAACATACATTTTTACCACGTCCTGGGGGGTTCTCAAAATTTCTGGGGGGGTAAAAATTACACCCCTCACGCAGATCGGCGGGGTCAGGGTACAAAAACACAAAGGATTTGCTACATTTCTGAAATTCGCTGGCACCCCTCACGCAGATCGGCGGGGTCAGGGTCCAAAAACACATGGGATTTGCCACATTTCTGAAATTCGCTGGCACCCCTCACGCAGATCGGCGGGGTCAGGGTTCAAAAACTTTTGGGATTTGCCGCATTTCTGAAATTCGGCGGCACCCCTCACGCAGATCGGC